CGCTGTTTTGTGATAGCAAGGGGGCTCTTGGGATGGCCAGAAACGCTGTGCTTCATGGGCTGAACAAGCACATGCGTATCAAGTGGCACTGGCTGCGTAAGGAGGTGAAGAGGGGGACGGTGAATCCAATCTACATCAAGACTCACCAGCAGCCAGCAGACTTTCTCACCAAGAGGCTTGCGGATGAGCCTCATTGGCGTTGTGTGCGCATGAGTGGAATGAGCATGAACTAGCATGGAATGATGGGGATGCAGCCGGCAGGCTGAGGGGGAGTGTGTTGGGTGCAAATTTACATTGCACGACATCCTGCCGTCTGTTTGTACGAGTATGCGTGTGCGAATGCATTTGGGTGTGAATGGAATGTTCGTGTGTTTGTTTGCTTTCGCAATTTTCGCTTGATGCATTTGCAGGTACTCGCGCAATGTGCGCTTCGGCACAACATTGTATGCGCTATGAACAGTGCAAGCAGAAAGGACGAGCTCGCAAAGGAACCCAAGATGGAAGCTTTGCAGTTCGGTTGAGTTGATTGCGCAGATTCAGTTCTATCCAACTCGAAATTGTACTGTTTTGTTTGGTTAACTATAGTGTAGCAGGGAAGGCACTATAGGGGTACAATTTAGGTGAAGGTTGGATGTTGTTTGTCTGTATCTGCATGCTACAAGGCCAGGGGAAACCAGCGGAACCAGCATTTGGCTGGTTGGGCAAAGACAAAACAGGTTCTGTTTTTAGAACCTGAACCTGGTTGTTGTTTTCCCAGGTTGGAAAAACAGAACCAGAGGTTGTTTACCAACCTACCACCTGCTATTTTGTCCAGCCAGGTTGGTTCTGTTGCTTGGAATTATTTGGGATCATCCCTGGTTGTTCCCAAGTTGATTCCCAAGGCCCTTGCTAGCTAGAACTATTTAATCCTTCTCTGTTTGTACCTGAATATAGTCAAATTGATTCAAGCGAATTCCTTCCTCGCTGGAATTTCGTTTCTGCGCTATTCGACGGCGGAATGCTACCCGAGTCAATGCTAGTATGCTAGCACTCCAACGCTAGGCAAACGCTGTCCGAGCCATAACTTAGTGATGGCAGAACTTTTCGCGAGGCAACTTGGCTCATTTTAAAGCTCTTGGAACGAGCTTCGATATAGCGAATTCTCAGCTTAATCCGACCGACGGTCTGCACGGCACGCTGCGCGACGTTCAAGGTACTCTTGCTGTTTTGACTAAGTCCTTCTTGATCCCTCTCTCTACAAACTCGGACCCGAGGATAGGGGCTGGTCTTGTACCAGGCACCCAGGGACCCTTGGAGGTGACCCCGAGGAGAGGTTTTAAGTTTGATTAAGTCCTAATAGCTTGAGTTTATTAGGCCCTTACACCAACAATCATGACCCATCATTCACACACCATTATAAGCATGAAATATATATTTATTTCATGCACTCATACCACTTTATGCACAGACGCATGCACACATACGCACACGGACAACAAGCCGAGTGCAAACCGTAGGGTTGCACCAACAGCGCAGGGCAGGGCGCTGGCGCAGGGCAGGGCGCTGGCGCAGGGCGCTGGCGCAGGGCAGGGCGCTGGCGCAGGGCACTGGCGCAGGGCAGGGCAGGGCGTGCGCAGAACAGTGCGACGCAGGGTGATGGGGTAACGCAGTAACCGCAGTCGGACGCTAAGTATGGTGGGCCCGAACAAAAAAAAAAAAAAAGAACAGTCCTATGGACCTACTGCTCTGAAACCATGTCAAGGTAACAAGCATGAATGAGATAAACTAGATGAAAGTTGGGTACAAGTATGAAACCCTAAAGGGGTTGTACCCCATATTGGCTACCCCACTACAACCTACACATATGATACAAGTATAATTTGACACTATCGTGAACCCCCGTATGATATTCACCCCTCAAAATATTGGGGGAGGGGGGGGTAATTAAATGGTATACATTTTATAAGACCCGGGTCTTTTCAATTTGACCTTTATAAGAATGCAGTTTTGGAGCTCAAAGAAGTGTTTCCGCACAGCGAATCACCTCTTTGGATGGGAGGATTATGGCGATGAGTGGTGGGTAGAAGGGCGATATGATGGGGAGGAGGTGGGGATTTGGGTTGCTGGACAGGATTAGGATGGTAATGAGCCATGCAGATGCGTTCATGGGTGTGATTTCTCTAACTGAACATGGAATATGACCATTTTCTATTGCATTTGCTGAAAATCCGCACTTCACTAGGATGTGGGGGGGGTCTTAGAATGTTAGGAGCCATTTAGGGGGGTATAACTCAGATTTACTCGAATAGAGTACCCCCCTCCGTATTATAGTCCCGGGGGTCTACAACTAGAGGGGGTCCTATATACGGGGGTTTACGGTAGTTGAATTGAGGTTGGCTCGTTCACATGCATGTGCTCGGAATGAAAGTAACCGATTAGGCTTTGAGCCAGCCAGGCCTCTCGTTGGACGGATGAAGTACGCAAGCGAAGCGACCCTTACAGACTTTTCAAGCTGATTCAGCCCTTCAGCTCTCCCCATCATTTTTTTTTCCCGTACCTACCGGGGCTAGTTACGCTTTCGAGTTAAACCGATCTCTAAAGCTCTTGCCTAGGCAATGAATCGTTCTCATTTCACTTTGGCAGACCCTCTTTGCTGCACTGTTTCACTATTCTAGATTCCGTTTAAGATGTGAGTGAACAATGGGGATCGATTGTGGTCTAACCTCAAATATGGAATATTCTTTGGAACGAAATGGTACACATTGAGTTTAAATAAACGTTGCAGTATTTCAAAAGGTACCACACATACAATGAACCAAGAAATTCATAAATTATAAATGACATATGTCAGAATGTGATATTTGTCTAGTCTGCAGTGGGGTACTCTATAGTGAGTACAACTCGGTTAGGGTTTGCTATTTGTATCCCAACTGCCTGCTAGTGAAACCCCTCTTCCTTCCATTCCTGTTTTACCTAGCTGCTTTGACATGCTATCAGAGCGTCTACGCTCCTGGCCTGTGGGCTCACCTGCTCCTGGCCTGTGGCCTGTGGGGCGCGCGACGTTTTTTCTTCCCGCCACGCGCTCGGGGCGCATGGCGGTTTTCTGCCCGCCGCGCGCCCCGCGCGCGCTCGGCGGTTTTACGCTCCATCGCGGCGCCCTCGGGGACCTGCGTGCTGCCCCCCGTCGCCCTCGCGGTGCCCCCGGGGACCCGCGCGCTCCCCCCGTCATCCGTCGCGGCGCCCCCAAGGACCCGCGCGCGGCCCCCCGTCGCCTGTCGCGGCGCCCCCGGCGACCAGCGCGCCACCCCCGTCGTTCGTCCGGCACCCCCGGGGACCAGCGAGCCGCCCCCGAGGACCCGCGTGCGCCGCGGGGCTGCTTCCCCCCTGCCCCTCCCCTTTCTCCTTCCTCTCCCTCCTGCGCATGCAGCTATGGGGGTGGCGGGTGTGTGAGCCGTCCCCTGCTCCTCCTCCTCCTCCGTCTCCCACCGCTTCACCTGACGCTGAGGGGGGTGGATGTGTGGAAGGAGTGGCGCTTAAGGGGGTGCCGTAGGAGTGGAGCTAGGAGTGCATAGGGGGGTGTGTGAAAGGGGGTCTGCGACAATGGGGGAGGTTGAACGGAGGTAGCCGTTGTGGAGCCAGCAGCGCCAGTAGTCCGGATGCCCTTGCTCCGGTAGCCAGCGAGCCCGTTGCGCCAGTCGCCCGTGGGTCCGTTGCTCCAGCCGCTCGTCTTAGCCGCGGAGCCAGTTACTCCAGTAGTCCGGGGCCCTTGCTCCGGTAGTTCGTGTGCCAGTTGCTAGCCCGTGTGCCAGCTACTTCAGCCGCTGCGTCCAATCTCCTCTCCTCTCACAGTCCCTCCTCCTCCTCACGAGTTCTCTATGTCTCCCACTAGCTTTGCTTGTGCTTGTGAGTTTATTATGTGGCTGCTTGCTGTGCTGAGCATACACCACTTTGCCTATGGAGGTGTGTCAGAATGTGATATTTGTCTAGTCTACAGCGTGGTACTCTATAGTGAGTACAGCCCGGTTAGGGTTTGCTATTTGTATCCCAACTGCCTGCTAGTGAAACCCCCCTTCCTTTCATTCCTGTTTTACCTAATTTTTTTGACAACATAATCCACACATGGAGCATACCCACTAGGGTACAGCCTATTGGTGCAACCCTACGGTTTGCACTCGGCTTGTTGTCCGTGTGCGTGTGCGTGCATGCGTGTGTGCATGGAGTGGTATGAGTGCATGAAATAAATATATATTTCATGCTTATAATGGTGTGTGTATGATGGGTCATGATGTCGAGTGTGTGTATCAATTCAATAGCGAATTATCGCTAGTCGCGTATAACGCGGTCAATCATATTGTATGTCCCGCGCGGTTTCTATTTTGTCGTGCGCGGTTTCTATTTTGTCGCTTGTCGAACGTTCGGCGTGTCGCAGGTGTGTGTAGCAGACCCATAAACAACTCAAGGATGAATTTGTGATGAAGAACCCGAGCCTTGGTTGCAAGCTTCAAGTGATTTTGAAGCTCGCCAAAAGGCTACACCTCAAGATATTGAAGATAGTTACATTACAATGTGTAGTGTAACATTTCTCTTGGTGTAGGCCCTTGTGAAGGGTAGTTTCGAGACCCTTCTTGGTTGGGGACAGTGTGGCACTATTCCACATCACTGTACCTCGGCTCTTGGGGTTTGTAGGAGCTGGGATTCATTCCCAACTCGTAACTCTTCCTAGCTGTTCGTAATTGTGTGTCCTAAGACTATGTTGCTGCCATAGTGCCGTTCGTTCAAACCGACGCTGTGTCGTCAATTCTTGATGAAATCGTGCGATCTAAATTGCCTGTTGTAGGCGACGTTAAGACGCTCGAGTTCCAAGTTAAATAAGGTCGTATCGAGCTGTGACCAGATCGCTATGAATGTTTAAAGCCGCTGTGCAGAAATCTGACTGTGCACTCTATCTTTCGTTCTAGGCACATTGAAGCCTATTGTGACTATGAAAAGTGGTATCAGAGCGCCTTGGAGCAGCTACGACGATGGCTGGACCTGAAGAAAGGGGTGACAGAGGTGCTGGTGGCAGTGGAGGACCCCAAGCACAAGGTCAACCCCGTGATTCAGCCATGGTGTCCACGCAACCGACTCTTGGTCCTTCTAAGGACGAACCAAGAGTTTTCTGGCTCGACAAGTTCAACCGCGACAACTTTGCTGAGTGGTCCTTCAGAATGGAGAACGTGTTTGACCACTATGACCTGCTGGAGGTGATGGAAGGAACGGAGAAGCGTCCCGAGAACGACCCGGAAGAGCGCACAAGGCTATCTCCTACTTGGGCAAGCGTTGGGGAGCAACCAGATCCGTCACATCAAGCCTTTCCAGCGTGAACCAGAGAAGGGACCTAAAGCATGGGCTGCTCTCAAGGGTGTACACGCTCCTGCAACAGTGGCGGTAGCTGTGGTGTTGGAACGGCAAATGGCGACGCTACGCCTTGAGAAAGATGAACCCGTGGAAGAAAGTGTGCAGAAATTCTTCGACTTGTTGACACGACTTGAGGGAGCTGATTTGAACTACAGTGAGCTCCAAAAGAAGACCAAGTTGCTGGCCCTACTCCCCGAATCGTGGTCCTCTCTCATCATCAACCTTAATCGTGACCTGCCCCGCCTCTCGCTTGAAGATGTGAAGCGAGCGATCCTTCAAGAAGACTTCCGCCGCCGTGAGTTGGCGAGTGCAGATGGCGCTGGGGCAGCGAGCATCGGCCAGCGAGTGCGGATGGCGCTGGGCCAGCGAGCATCGGCCGTGGATATGGTCGAGGAAGAGGCAGAGGACGAGGGGGAGGAAGGTTTGGTGGCAGCAACTTCAGTGGAGGCCGCGGGAATGGCGGATACGGCAGCGACGACAAGAGCTACGGTCGCGGTCGCGGACGATTTGACGGCGAATGTCACATGTCACAAGACCGGACACATGTGGCGCGATTGCTACAAACTCCCTGAAAGATGGAACCCTGCTCAAAGCCAAGAGGGTAGAGGAGCAGGAGGAGGGGGAGGAAAACGCCGTGGAGGCCGTGGCGGTCGCGGAGGCAGTGCTGCAAACATGAAGAGCGGAGATAACGACAAGGACCCGAGCGACGATCGGTACCCGGGTCTATTCTACTTCGTGTCGACGCAAGTACCAGCTGGTCCAGAGAAGGATGAAGGCTTTGAGGAGCCAGCAGCTGTGGGGAAGGTGACCCTACACCCCCTGGACTATTGGGTGATCGATAGTGGCGCTACCTATAGCATGACACCTCGCCCCGACTTGCTCACCGAACTCGAGCCGTCACCGGTGAAGCATGTCACATCGGCTTTGGGGCAGCGAGCGGAGGTGAAAGGTGTTGGGTGCAAATGCACATTGCACGACATCCTGCCGTCTGTTTGTACGAGTATGCGTGTGCGAATGCATTTGCGTGTGAATGGTGTGTTCGTGTGTTTGTTTGCTTTCGCATTTTTCGCTTGATGCATTTGCAGGTACTCGCGCAATGTGCGCTTCGGCACAACATTGTACGCGCTATGAACAGTGCAAGCAGAAAGGACGAGCTCGCAAAGGAACCCAAGATGGAAGCTTTGCAGTTCGGTTGAGTTGATTGCGCAGATTCAGTTCTATCCAACTCGAAATTGTACTGTTTTGTTTGGTTAACTATAGTGTAGCAGGGAAGGCACTATAGGGGTACAATTTAGGTGAAGGTTGGATGTTGTTTGTCTGTATCTGCATGCTACAAGGCCAGGGGAAACCAGCGGAACCAGCATTTGGCTGGTTGGGCAAAGACAAAACAGGTTCTGTTTTTAGAACCTGAACCTGGTTGTTGTTTTCCCAGGTTGGAAAAACAGAACCAGAGGTTGTTTACCAACCTACCACCTGCTATTTTGTCCAGCCAGGTTGGTTCTGTTGCTTGGAATTATTTGGGATCATCCCTGGTTGTTCCCAGGTTGATTCCCAAGGTCCTTGCTAGCTAGAACTATTTAATCCTTCTCTGTTTGTACCTGAAAATAGTCAAATTGATTCATGCGAATTCCTTCCTCGCTGGAATTTCGTTTCTGCGCTATTCGACGGCGGAATGCTACCCGAGTCAACGCTAGTATGCTAGCACTCCAACGCTAGGCAAACGCTGTCCGAGCCATAACTTAGTAATGGCAGAACTTTTCGCGAGGCAACTTGGCTTATTTTAAAGCTCTTGGAGCGAGCTTCGATATAGCGAATTCTCAGCTTAATCCGACCGACGGTCTGCATGGCACGCTGCGCGACGTTCAAGGTACTCTTGCTGTTTTGACTAAGTCCTTCTTGATTCCTCTCTCTACAAACTCGGACCCGAGGATAGGGGCTGGTCTTGTACCAGGCACCCAGGGACCCTTGGAGGTGACCCCGAGGAGAGGTTTTAAGTTTGATTAAGTCCTAATAGCTTGAGTTTATTAGGCCCTTACACCAACAAGCTGGTATCAGAGCTGCGTTATAGTGATCCTCGTTATAGGTAGCTATGGCGGGCAACACCTCGGCGGGAGCTGGTGAATCTTCAGCCCAAGATCAGATCGGCAGCCAAGATTCTGGTCTTTCAGCGCCAAGGGGAGCGCGAACAAACCAGGGCTCGCTTGTCAAGGAGGTGCTGAAGAATTTCACCGTCGAGAAGTTCAATGGTGAGGGCTATGATGATTGGGCCTGGAAAATGCAATTATATTTCCGTCAGATCGGTTTGCTGAAACTAATGATTGGGGAGGAGCCTAGACCGAGTGACCCCACGCTGCAGGAAGATTGGGACGAGCGCTCCTCGGCTGGCTACTATTTGATGTCGCAGAGTTTGGAGCTGAACCAGCGTCACCACGTCATGCACCTGCTGCCGGAGGTTGAGTGCGGTCCGAAGGCGTGGACCGTGTTGAAGGAGCTGCACGCCCCGACCTCCGTTGTCGCAACGTTGATGCTGGAGAGGGAGCTGTCCGCGTTGCGCCTGAGCGAGGGAGAGCCGGTGCAACCAGTCCTGGACAAGATGCGCGACCTCTACGCGAAGTTGGCGACCACGGGAATCACCTACCCGGAGCAGACCAAGTGCTTGAAGATGCTCTCGCTGCTGCCAGAATCGTGGCTTCAATTTACGAGCGGATTGAGCCTGCCGCAGAACCAGAGCTTGTGGACGCTCGAGTGGGTGCGGACGAAGATTCTGGAGGAGGACTTCCGTCGCCGCCAACTGAGGGGTGGAGACGACGGCAGCAGCGGCTACGGGATGCAAGGGAGCCGACGTGGCAGAGGACGTGGCTTCGGTGGTGCTGGACGCGGTGCAAAGAAAGACGACGACTCCAACGACCAACAAGGAGGTACCGGTTGGGGTCGCGGTGCGAAATCTGGACGTGGGGGCAAGTCGGGTGCTGGTGGCAAAATGAAAGGGAGTTGCTGGTATTGTGAGAAGGAAGGGCACCCCTGGTTTTTGTGCTATAAGAAACCCGATGGATGGACCCCCCAGAATCGTCACCAGGATGGCGGCGCGCGGAGGAACCAGAAAAACGGCGCCAACATGGTCGCTGATTCGTCCGACAACAACCCGAAGGGCAACAGCGGTGCGGAGAAGAAGAAGGAGCGCACCGCGGGCCAATTCTTCCATGTGGGAGACAAGGGGAGCAAGGAGACGCCTCTGCCAAAGTTGGAGCAGAGCTGCACCCCCTAGACTATTGGGTGTTGGACACAGGCGCTGCTTGGACGATGACGCCGCGCAAGGACCTGCTGGACGAAGTACGAGCTGCACCGATCAATGAAGTGTGCTCCGCCTCTGGACACATGTTGAAGGTGGCTGGTGCGGGACGAGCTGCGTTTAAGGGAGCGGATGGCAAGCCAGTGGTGCTGCACGACGTTCTCTTCGTCCCCGACCTGAAGGCCAACCTTATCTCCCTCCGTAAGCTTGGCAAGGCTGGGGTGAACACCAACACGGATGGGGCACGCACTTATAAGGGGCAGCTGGGCAATCGGGTGCTTTGGGATCTGCACGAGAGCAAGGACGTGTACAGATCTATGTGGCAGCTGCCAGCCCTGGCGTGGCATGGTGGGGGGCAGGCTGGAGAGGGGTCTGCATCCCAGGGGAAGTGCAACGCCGTTGGAGGGGTTGGTGTGAAAGTGTCGGCCAGATCTGGGGAGACAGATTGGGCAACGGCACACCGGCGCTTAGGGCATGTGGCAATGCCTTTGCTGAAGCAGCTGGAGAAGGACGGAGCCGTTAAGGGTCTGAAGCTGAACGGACAGCCACCCGATGACAACTGTGAAATCTGTTTGCTTTCAAAGTTCACCCGTTTCCCTTTCCATAGTGTGGCTGGCAGGAGCAAGAAGCCTTTGGAGCTGGTCCACATGGACTTGGTGGGGCCGCTGCCGGTGCAAGGGCACAAGGGGGAGCGGTATTTTCTTACAATTGTGGATGACTGGAGCAGGCTGATGTGGGCGTATCCACTGAAGCAGAAGGACCACGCCGCCTCCACGATACGGAACGATTGGCTGCCATTCGTGGAGAAGCAGGCGGAGTGTGTAGTGAAGCGGATTAGGACAGACCGGGTGGTTGAGTTTCCTTGGAGCTGAATGACGGCCTGGCTCAAGAAGTAGGGCATCCAGAGGGAGCTGACCACGGCTTATACCCCACAGTCCAATGGTGTAGCAGAACGGGCAAACCGGACCATTCTGGAGACAGCTAGGGCGCTGCTCATAGAATCTGGGCTGAGCAATTCTATGTGGCCTCATGCTGTCCGGCACGCCACTGTCGCTAGGAACAGGGTGCTCACCAAGGTTGGGGATGACTCGTGGGTGCCTTTGGAGAGGTGGCTTGGGAGGAAGCCGCCGGTGGACATGCTGAGGGGTTTCGGTTGCATGGCAGTCGCCCACGTCCCCAAGACCTACCGAAGTAAGTTGGGGGCGAGTGCAATCTGGTGTGTGCATTTGGGGCTGGCTGCTGAGAGCAAGGGATGGCTGCTGTGGGAACCATCCAAGGGTGTGTTTGTTTGATAGCAGGGATGTGAAATTCATTGAGGGCATGATGTATGGGAGCTGGGAGAAACAAGCCGGAGCAAGGATGTCCCAGCAGATGGAGCAGATCACCATGTCACTGGACCTGACTCCTAGTGTGGGGAGAGGAGAGGAGGAGCTGCTGGAAATGGGGATGGGAGAGAGGTACAGGAGGCATCTGCTGGTGGAGAAAATGGTGTGGAAACTGGCGGCAGCACTAGTGGAGCTGCTGGACCCGAGGGAGGAGAGAAGCAGCAGGGAAAAACTAAGAAGCCGAAGGGTGTCGTTATGAAGGGATGGGAGACACCCGTCTCCAGGCCAGGACGTACCCGTATGGCTACTAAGAAGCTGACTGCAGGAACTGATGCAGCAGAGCAGCAGCTAGGACAGAAGAGGCATTGCTGATTCTACCTCATGGCTATGACCCGGATGAGGAGGATGAGCCGGCGTTACTGTTTTCTTGCCCCTGCAGAACAGAGAACCAGCTAGCATGGAGGAGGCATTAGCTGGACCAGATAGGGACAAGTGGCTGGCTTCTAGGGATGCTGAGTACCAGAGTCTGCTGGAGAATAGGACATGGGATCTGGTGGTGCTGCCTGATGGAAGAAGCGATACAATGCAAGTGGGGTGCTGAGGATCAAGACCGATTGACAAGGGCAGGTCACACCCACAAGAGTAGGCTGGTGGCGAAGGGGTTTAAATGGCAGAAGGAGAAGCAGGACTTCAACGAGATCTTTGCTCCCACTGCCAAACCCCTACCCTCCGTGTCTTGTTGGCAGATGCAGCTGTTAGTGTAAATTCATCATTCAGATGGATATTTCAACGGCATTCCTGAATGGGATTTTAGAGGAGGATGTGTACATGACGCAGCCGCCTGGGTATGAGGATGGTACGGGCAGGGTGTGCAAGCTCAACAAGTCCATCTACAGCTTGAAGCAGGCGCCACGCTGCTGGTACCAGAAGTTGGCAGCTGTTTTAGAGGAGATGGGATTCAGGACCAGCAGCTGTGATGAGAGCCTCTTTCTCAAGGGCGAGGGGGAGAAGCTGGTGCTGTTTCTGGTCTATGTGGACGACATTCTTCTCTTCAACAGCAGCATGAAGGAGATCCAGAAAGTGCAGCAGCAACTGATGGAAAACTTCAAGTGCAAGAACCTTGGGGAGGTAAAGTACTACCTCGGGATGCACGTGGAGAGGGATCCAGATCACAGGTGGTTGAAGCTGCATCAGGAGAAGTTCATCAAGGAGCTGGGGAAGAAGTATGGGATTGAGAATGAGCGCAGGTTGCAACTCCCTGCCAGCAGAATTCAAGCTTGTGAAGGCTGCAGAGGATGAAGGGGTTGAAGCTGAAGAGCAGCAGCAATTTCAGTCCTTGGTGGGCAGCCTCTTGTACGCAGCAGTTCACACGAGGCCCGACATCTCTTTCTTGGTTGGGCAGCTGGCTAGGGTGGTGCAGAATCCATCAGAGGAGCAGGTGGATGCAGCTGAGCGTGTGGTGAAGTACCTGAACTCTCACCCAAGCATTGGAGTTCAATACTCCGCATCTGCACAGGTGAAGCAAAAAGGGGTGGAGGTGCTGAAAGAGAAGGGGGAGAGGCTTGGAGAAGGCAAGCTATTTCTCACTTGCTTTACCGATGCTACATGGGCTTCTGAGAAGGAGGAATGTTCTTCCTCATCTGTGGGAGGA